GGTGTGGGGCTGCCCTCGCAACAGGGGCAGGGCGCGGGCCCCCGGCCGCCGCCGTTGGGGGTGAGGGGGCGGCCTTCCGGCTCAGTGAGAAGCGCCCCGGCTGCTCAGTCGCGCTCCCCGCGGCGGTCAGTCAGGGGCGGACCCGCGGCCTGGCTCGTGAGAGGGACTTCGTCTTCGTTGGGGCATAACTGTCGATCTCTGCCCAGGCCGAACTCCAGGGGCCCGGAGGGCTCTAACTTAGAGAAACAAAAGCTTCTTCAGTGTGAAGTAACAGCTGCGTAGCAGTTTTGAGGAACTAAATACTGCTGATCTCTGTCTAAACTCCCATCTAAGCCCTACTTTAGGAGGCTTAGGATCCGTCTGTAAGGATAGCGAAGTAAGCCTCAAGCCTGCGCTAATACCCTCGCTGACGTTACAGCACATGCAGTTGGCCCTAGAGCACGCCTGGGCTGCGGTTCACAGGGCGGCGCAGCGGAACCAGGCCTGTCGTCCTGCGAGTTAGCACACAACGTGGATGCAAACCACGGCTGTTGTTCTACCTCAGCTGAAATGCGCTGCCTGACTGGGGATACTAAGAGGTTTTAGGGTGAGTACAAGCAGATTAGCTTCCTCAGAAACTGGGAATTAGTAATTTGTAGAACAGAGACTTTGAATGTTGCCCAGCAAAGCTAGTAGGTAGGAACCACAACATCATGGTTCTTGTGGGGTTCTGAATTCAACAGAAGTCCCTGCTTCACAAAGAGGTGGAGGTATTGCTGATAATTCATAGCTTCCTCTCTCAGGGAGAAACAGTATGGCTTGTCTCATACTGAGCTGCTACCAGCACAGCATCTGAAAGTGTATGGGAAGAAAATAACACGTTGGTCCACTATCCCTGAGAGTTTTCTGAACCCTGCGTATAAATTACCCTCAGCAGATCTAAACCGATCTGATTCAGCCTGGAACAAACAGTCACATAGTTGCAATCAAGGGATAGCTCTAGAAAATGTTTCTTATCACTTCTAGTTACCTCTTCTGTCTAATTCTTGATACTTGCGTAAAACATTGTTGCAGATGTAATCGCTGTGCCAGTAAGTCTATTGCGACTGCATCAGGATTCAGAAGCTGTCTGGGGCTCTAGGTAAGTCACTCTCTGGATATGAATTTGTGAGGCATGTAGCTTCAGGTTATTTCAAGTGGGGTTCTCTGCAATGACCATTTTCTACAGAAGTCAGATCGGTCCTTTCTTGTAATGTAGCCAAAAAGATGAAGTGGCATCCAAACCTTTACATTTTTACCACCTGTGCCAGTGGGATGAACGTCAAGCTCAGTTTCTTCTTTTCCGGTACAGAATGTAAACTAGCACCTCTGTTAGCACAGCAAACCAGTGATCAGTATCCACCCCAGATGAGCATTTTAATCATTCAGATGAAATTCTGCTCCTTTTTCTTCCTGTGCACAAGCTTTCTTTTGTCTTCCCCATACAAACTTTGCGTTGTTTGCCTTCTCTCTGGCTCCATGAAACTTACTTTCTTGTCTGATAGTGGCACAGCTTCAAGAGGAGGAATGCAGAGGCCACCTGCCCTGTCTGTCCCTTCCCAAACCTTCCCTATAGAATAAATTACTGTCCTAGCAAGGGTCAGATGTGGATTCGAGCCTCCTTACATGCAGGTAGGGTTCTCCTGTTTCCTGGGAAGTGCTGCAACCATTGAGTTATTACCTACAAGACTGCAGGTAGATCTGCTCTTTCTATGTTTTGTTGGAGGGAAAGGGCTGCCTCTAACTTTTACCTGAACAAACTTCTCAGCTGGGCACTGTGTCTGCCTACAAGCCCGGGTATCTTGGGGACTTGTGGGAAAGCCCACATTACCGGTGGATCAAAGTACAGCTTAATTGTGAGATGGATCCTGGATCACTAACCAGGAGAGATGCAGGTCTGGTCATGAGCAGAAGTGGCAGGAACTTCGGTTATGGGAGCTTGACTAGTGAACATGAAAGTATTTAAGGGAGGAGAGGGGGAGTACAGACAGTTGTTACAAGAACTATACTTAAGAATCAGATACTTAATGTGCTACCTTTGTTCCGTACTGGTCACCTCATAGCGAAGAAGAGCTTTTGCTTCTTTTCGGTGTCAGAGGTTAGCAGGTTCCACACATGCCCAGGAAAAACTGTCAGGCACCCGGTCAACCATGACAATAGATGTTGTTAGGTCTGTTTACATTAGGGCACTTCCACAGTCATGGAGAAGAAAATCTGAAGGTCTGCATTTTGAAGTTAGCTAAGTGGCAGCTGGATGCCTTGGTTATTTTGTGGATTTAGTGTTGAACTTTTTAAGGAGTCTGTGGTGATCTGAACTCAGTTGTTCAAATCTTGAAGAGCAGTGCTCTAATCAGCCAAGTCTCTCTTTGTGGGATGCACGAATTTAATCTCAAAGTCCCTGGTCTGATACCTTTATCAGCTGAAAGACTTTTGAAAAACAGTTGTTAAAAAACATCATGGTGGGTTCACCAAGATGCACAATTGTCACTAATGTTTCATTTCAATTTCACTGTCTTTCTCCACACTGATACAAAGGAAAACCAAGCAAGTAAAATCTTGATGTGTCCATCAGTCTTTGCAGATGGATGATGGTATCCATCTGTATTAAATAACTGGCAGGTTTGGGACCTTACAATGCAGTAGCCTTTTTTTTTTTTTTACTTGATTAAAACTTTGACATGCTAATGTAATAAAAATGTAATTTGATTAATTTATGCCACAATTTACATAAAATGAAAAAGCTATTTAAAATTCGTGCTGAAAATAGACTAAATGCCACTTACAGCCTGTCTGCTGTCAAAATATCCTTTGTGTTTGGTCCTCAGAGTGTGTGTTAGTTAAAATTAGAGCCTGTAGAATAGAACAAAAATAATAAATAAAATCTTTGGAGAAGAAGAGGAGGGCAAGCCAGAATTGTTATTTCCTTTCCAGAGGCAGAAATAGCAATACATTTCTGTTAGAAACTTAAGTTTTCTGTTGTTTTCACTCAGTGAGTCTCGTCTCTTTTGATAAATTACTTACATGGATAAAAATTTTGGTTATCCTTTCTAGCCGATATGTATGATTAGAACTTAAATAGTATCTTTCCAACTGAAAGCACATTTTGTATAGATAAGAAAAATGCCAGTAAAGTTTGCTAGTGAGCTTCCTTGCTGAATAAAATACCCGATAAAGAGGCCATTCTTCAAGCTTCTAACTTATGGAAATGTGGGAATATTTTCAGTTGAGTAGTGAGAGTGAGGGAAGATTAATATTATGTAAACTGATGAAGCAATATACAGAAGTTCTCTTATTTTCACTGTTCAGAGCTCCTAATACTTTTTTTTTTTTAAACACAATTAAGCAGAAGGAAAAAGGCACGAGTAAGATTTTCTGAGATCATCACACCTCTAGGCCATTATCGATCATCGAACTGACTGTAAAGGCCTAAACAGCCTCTTCACAGAGTAGGCTGTTTAATGGTTATCGCTATAGAACGATTAGCCCCTTTTATCTACTGAGTCAGCCTTTGGTGTATTTGACATGAATGTATTTGCACCTGTCTTATTCTGCTGTCTTTGGGCTTTCAAATCTGATGTCTGGCCAAAAAAAATGAAGTCAGATGCCGTAAATGTATTTTGTTTTCTTCTGTCAAATAGCAATTTCTGAGAAAAAGGAAGAGATGGTATTCCCTCTCTGCCAACTAGTATAATGTTTACATTAGCAAAGGTAGGCAAGATTCAGAGATGAATGTAATGCAAAGTTTTATTTTCCGTGCTTCATATTTGGTAGGTGACAGTAAGACTTGTTAGGATTCTAAAGATAAAGTTTTACTGTATTTTAAATCAAGAGAAATAATTTCTCTGATAATTTGGAAATGCTAGGTAGGGGTTGCTTTGAAACTGAGAGTCTTAAAGAAGAATAGTGATTCCGAAGTTTGGGGGGGGTTAGATTAAGAGGCCCCCAGGAGACTCCCCATGTTTTCTGTGAATTGCCATGAATTTTTCATGGACTACAACTCACTCTTACCATAAGAATTTCAAGTATAAATAGAGTGGCTTCGCAGACCTGCTAGGAGCCAGGCACTACAGCCTCAGTCCGTGGAGTGCAAGTTGGCATTTGGCATTGTACTAAAGCTCCCAATCTGTTCTGCTGCGGGGGCCAAGCTTCATGGAAAATCCTTAGTCCTCATGCTTGTGTCTACATATTTGCCATTCTGTTAAAGACATATTGATATTTTTTGTAGAACATAATTTAATGTGAGATACAAAATATAAAAAAAAGTTCATAAAATTCTAAACATACATTGTCAGCACTGAAAGTATTTCAGATATCTGAATTCTCTTTTAATTCTTATTATGTATTCTCCCACCTTCCAGAAAACCTGAGTATTGTTTTAACTGCCTTTTCCATTAAAATGCCTTTTTAATTGCCTGGAAATGTATCCTAAATTTGATTCTGTTCCAAACACTTGTTCAGCAAAACTGACTGATGATTACCCGTTTCTGGACCAGAGTTTATTACAAGAAAAACATAAATGAACCCTCTGTGGAATTTTCCAAGATTTCTGGAGAGGAAATGCAATATCCTCTTTGTAGCACAGAGTGAGCAGATATTCTAGTCCCAGCTTTGCTACTAACTTTCCTGTGTAACTTTTAACAAGTTGCTAAATTTCTGCTGCCTGTTTTCTTGCTTTGTAAAAGAAGCTAATATTAACTTGCCACTCAATAATCTGACAAGTCTGAGTGAATGTTTGCAAAGTACTCTGAGAACGTCAGATGGAAAATGTTATGGAAGCCCAAGCCTCTGCTAGCCAAAGACTATATTTACAGTAGGTTCTTGTTTTATGTAGTGAAATAAAAATGTTCAAGCGTATAACCAGATGAGACCAAGACTGATCTAAAATTAAATGCAGGAGGCATTTTTTGACCTTTCAACAGAAATTATATAAGCACTCTTAGGTTATAAATAGTCCTTTGTTTTCCTTCTCTTTGTCTAACACTCAGAAGAAACACAGGGTTAGTTGTTTGTTATGAAGAGATAGGGCAATACTTTAGAGTGGAAACAATTGTTCACTGTTCTTTATTTATACAGTTCCTATAATGTTTGTAACTAGCATTTGTTGCTTTTCTTAGCACTTTTTTATCTTCAAAAAGCTACAGAAATAAACTTTCTAGTCCTGAAAATGACAACACCAGAAGAAAACCAAAACACTCACCAGCCTATTTCAAGTGTGAAAGTTTCTTTCCTCTTTGCTGGTTTGATATATGACTGAAGACCAAAAAAGCCAGTGATAAACTACTGTTAAACTGGCCTATGAACACTTGTATATTATTTCCTATTTTTATTATGAATCCTCAGAAATAAGACATGAAATGTGTCCACCCTTAAATGAAAGTATTTTTATTAGTGTGAAGGATAATGATACCTAATTTTTCACAGAATGATGTGTGTAAGTATGTGCATATTTTCAAATATGCTTATTTTCAACAGTAGTCATTTTCTTGAACAACCAATAAATGCTTAACTAATAGCAATTTAATTTTGTGCTTAAAAAAAAAAAAGTTTAACAAACAGAAACCACCTGAAACCTTACCCTGAACTCAAGTAACTGGCATCAGTGAGAAAGCAAGAGTATGAAAATACCACTTACCTTTTTCTTACTTTTTTGTTTTCCTACTTTGTATGATTCTCTGGGGTTCATATTATAGCAATAATGTCCTTGACATTAACATATATGTGAGGTAAGTGGCTTTATTAGTTACCACATTTTGTTTCATTTGAATTTTTAATCACTTTCAAACCCATTCATTTGCTTCATGACTTTTCACTGGGATCAAGTACGATTCTCTGCAGTAAACTGGAATAAACGGGCTGCAGCAAAGAGTATACAATTAGGCTTCTGCAATAAAAGGGATGTATCTGAGTTTAAAAAACAGCTATAGTGCAGTACTGTCAGTCTCTATAAGCTACTTAGGAATGCACTGGAGACCAAGGAGGCCTTGATTGCTTCAGAACTGAAGCTGAGGGTGGCCAGTCCTGAAATGACGCCTCGGCTTAATTCCCATTTCCCTTGGTTATGTCGAGGAAACCTGTGATATTACGTATAATCCAGTCCTCAGAGTTTAAGCAAATTAAACACTTGGGATCAAATTCACACGTAATGTAAGACCATGAACTTAATAGAATTATACTAAGGATTATTTTTTTCTCACTGTTACATTATTTGATGGCTCTTTTACATAGTGATTCGTGGATTTATGAAGCAGTTTAGTAGCCCCGATGACTTCACTCCATAAATGTCCAAAAATCTTTTTCCATCCTATACTTCAAATGTCTACAATGATTTGGTATCACTAATCCAATTTATTGAGGAAAGAAAGTTCTGTCTCTGTGACAACTCCATTTTAAGTTTCTTTGCTGAAACTGTCAACAGGATACCAACTAATGCCAAATTTGCTGCCATTTTTATAAAGTGGGAACTTGTCCACCATGAGCTGGATTGAGGCCACTTACCTAACAGTATTCTCAGGGTAGGAATTTATCTTTAGATGCTACTGCTGATGCCAGATTTTTGTTAATAATCATAGAACTTCTCTTGAAATAAAAAAAAATTATTGACTTCAGAATGTTTGCTTTAAGTAACGCCTGTGGGGCCAGGCTCTATAGGCTGAAATTATTATATTCTAACATCAGGAAGGGAAAAGCATAGCCAAGCCTGAGCGTGCCATACTTCCAGGTGCTGTTAGGAGCAGAGGTGCCTGGAGAAATGTTAGCAGTTGTCTCTCTATTTGAATGATTTCCTCAGCGTAGCAGGGGAACAATACACGGGCCTTCAGCTTCTGCTGAAAACAGTGACATCTGCCAAGGAAAAGGGGAATTCTAAGATGAAGCATTGCCCTAGCTGAGCTCCGTTCTTGCTTCTCTCAGAGATTTGCTGTGTGGCCTGAAGTTAGCTATTTAACAACCTTGTGCCTATTATCATGTGTGTAAATTTAATGCACTCATACTACTCTACCTTGGAGAAAGGCATGGGCCTTGACTGACTTGTGTTTGAAGAGGAACTGAGATTTTTGCATTAACAGTGCTGTGTAAATGCCACGTGTTGTAAACTTGTGAGCGAGCACTCTGGCACTAAGCAGCGTGGTGTGGACACGGTCCCAAACAGCATTTGTGAAGATAAATGTTGGCTGCATGAACGGCAATGCAGAGCACCTGCTGTGGGCCCTAAGTTACACTCCAGCCCACTGTTGTGGGGTTTGCAAGTGCCTGGGCTCCCGTCTACCTCGAACGAGGCGGGGAGAGCACGGCCCAAAGCACAGTGCTGCCGTCGCTGCCGCACACCCATGTCCTCCCGCCCGTCGCCCCGCTGCCCGCCCGTATGATTCCGTGGGCGCCGAAACCGGAGTCGGGACCTGCTGTGGGCCCTAAGTTACACTCCAGCCCACTGTTGTGGGGTTTGCAAGTGCCTGGGCTCCCGTCTACCTCGAACGAGGCGGGGAGAGCACGGCCCAAAGCACAGTGCTGCCGTCGCTGCCGCACACCCATGTCCTCCCGCCCGTCGCCCCGCTGCCCGCCCGTATGATTCCGTGGGCGCCGAAACCGGAGTCGGGCAGCCCCGCGGCCGTGCCAGGCCGGGTGATGAAGACGGCCCCGCTGCCGCCGGAGC